GCTGTATTTAGGGAAGCAGCCTGCCCCATCTTTCTCCTGTCAAACAGCTGGTAGGTTTGAACCACTGACCTTTTGGTTAGTAGCCAAATGCCTTAACCAACACCACCAGGGTTCCTTTCTGCTAATGATGGCAACTAAGTATTTGTATCTGTTCCTATCTCTAGTCTTGCTATCATTGCCCTAGTAGACTATCACTGGCCTCATCATTTCTGAAGTACTTTAATAGTCTTCTAATTGATTTCTTTGCCAAATTCTATTTCCACCTAAAATACCAATTTGATAAAAATCACTCTCCTACTTTGATCCCTCCGATCCTTTTCCATTATCTACAGGGTAAATTGCTTAAAGCTATAAAAGGCTTTATGTAGTTCAGCCCTTACCTACACCTCCAGCTTAATTCTGAGTTCACTTTATATTCTAGTAATATGAAACTATACGTTGTTGTTGTTATGTGCCGTGGAATCAGACCTGACTCATAGCGACCCCTCCCTGGGTTTCCAAGGTGGTATCACTACGGAAGTAGATTGCCCAACCTTCCTTCCAAGGAGTAGCTGGTGGGTTTGAACCACCAGCCTTCTGGTTAGAAGTCAACTGCCATAGGCACTACACTACTACCTGAAATAACACTTTGATTCAAGTTCTTTGCATTTCCCATGCTATTTTCTGTCGTGCAGTGAATTGCTTAATATGGTCCTTCTAGCCATAGTTCTGTTTTTTGTGATGAATTATAAATCTTAGCCTCTATGCCTGTGGTTATGGTCCCATCTTAGGGTGAGTTATCCGATGTGTTGATGAAACAGAATTACGGTGGGATTTATCTTGAGTCCCCGCCTTGCGGGAAGGTGTGACTCAAGTAGTCACCTTAGTTTCCTTGAGGGTATTTATGTGAATGTTCTGGCAAAGTTCACTCTCTTGCTCTAGATCCTGCATTTGGTTTGTCAACATGTTATCCCTGGACTTTAGACAGCAACCAGTCATCGGACCTGCTGGTATGGGTTGTTAGCCCCTGCAACCATGGGAGTGAGAATCCAGATTGATGCCTAACCCAAGGATTTGGGACTTGCCAGCCTCCACCACTGCATGAGCCATTTCCTTGGCAGTTTGTGAGTTCTGTGAGACATTATAGCAAAATACAGAATCCTAAGACAGGAGGGAGAGTACTGAGAAGAGGAGTTGTTGTTGATATTAGAGAAGATGGAGTGCTACAGTTTGAAAAGTTGGACATTTGGTACATCTTTAATCTCTGCCTCACAGGGGCCAGCCTTGTACTGATCCTTGTAAAAAAAATTCAAGCAGCAGTCATAGGTAACTAATCCACTAGGAATTTGATATTTTTGATGCATTTGTACATGCCATCACTTTCTTAAAACCATTTTCTGTTTAGTGTTAGTAACAGAAATGCAATACATTTTTATATACTTTGTAACCAGCAACTCTGCTAAATTCACTTAATTTTTACTATTAGTTTATAGGTCATTTTTAATTTTCATATATACTATGATACTTTCTCCAAATAATAGGTTTAAGCAGTATTTCTTTCCAATTCTTATACACTTCTTTTCTTGTCTTTTTGCAAGGGCTGGTACCTCCAATATAATGTAGTATATCCTTTTACACTTTTTGATTTTTTAACTATGAGAATGTTTTGTCTATTTCAAATTTAAAATATCATTAAAATTATTTGTTGTTATGTGCCATCAACTTGGACCTGACTCATAGTGACCCCTCCATGGATTTCCAGGGCGGTATCACTATAGAAGTAGATTGCCAACCTTCCTTCCAAGGAGTGGCTGGTGGGCTTGAACCACCAGCCTTCTGATTAGCAGTCAAGAGCCTTAGGCACTATGCTACCAGAGCTCCCATTTTAAAGTGATTAAAATATCACTTTAAATTTAATAAATTTTAAATACAAGGAAAAAAAAAAAAAGCCAACATCCTTCTTAGTTAACAAATCCAAAGCCTTTTCTAAAACCATTCTCAAGACTATTCATCTTTGGATATTGTCTATTAATACTTTTTAAAACTTTCTCCTTCCTTGACCAGTGTTTCCTCCTCTAAGTCCGTTAGGTAGGTATTTGCAAGATTTTCTCCTTAGCCCTTTTCTCTTTCTATACTGTTCCTGTTAATGATTGAGAAACCATTTTAACTCTTTCATGACCTAGGGGACATACAGTGCCCACTACATTTTCTGCCTCTGGGATTTACTGGGACGCCACTATCCCACTTTTAGTGTGTGCATTCATCTAGTAGGAGCCTGCATAATTGCATAAATCTGAAGAAACAGGCTTCATCCCACTAACCCCAGCACCAGAGACCCCTCAGGCATATGTATCTCACTAATTGCTTAAAAATCCGTATTACCTCCAAAAGTTTTTCATTTCATTCAAAATGCCTTCCATGCCATGGTTTCAACAAAAAATTAAAAGCAGAAAATAATTTGGTCTTGAAAAGGTTAGGACCCACTATTATTTTTCAGAGGGGTTCTGGTAGCATAGTGCCTAAGGCATTTGACTGCTAACCAGAACACTGCGGTTCAAACCTACCAGCCACTCCTGGGAAGCAATGTTGGGCAATCTACTTCTGTAGTAAGAACGCCTCGGAAACCCAAGGAAGGGTCGCTATGAGTAGGTCTGACTTCATAGCACATAACATTATTTTTCAGAATCAGGTCAGTTTCAGTGTTTCCTTTTTCTTTCAAAGGCAACAGAAATCTGCTTTACTTTTTACAGAGTGCCATAACTCACCCCCTCTCCCTGAGTTTTTTCTTTTTCCAAGAGTGGTATTAAGTCTTTCCTACTCTTGCTTTTTTTGTTGTACTCAAGAAAAGCGTGAGCTCTGTTTACTTTAAGGGTTTCACTAGTAATGAAAGAGGATAATAAAAATAAAAATGAGTTACAAAGATCCTCCAATCTTCAGTGTTTTGGTCTCTTATCTGTATATGGACATACTTACGTGGAAAAGTGCATGGAAGGTGTTGCAAAGTTGGGGTGTTAAAAAGCTGGTGGGCCATGAGGTCTCAGAGTGGCATTTACCTTGGTAGATTCACTCAGTTCTGGGTCTGACCCTTGTCTTACAGGACCAGAAATGCTTAATTATGTTCATATACACATGCACAAAGGTCAAAATACCAGTGTACTTTACAATGAAAAAGATAATTGTCAAGGGAAATGGCTAGTCATTTCATTTGGCCAGGGTATTTCCTCCTTGTAGAAAAACTTTTGAGGATTCCAAAATTCGTAACTTATTTTTTAAAAAAAGAATAGAATATAAAATTTAGTTTTATGATCCAAATATTTAATGGAGTCACATTACATTTTGACATCCCAAAACCAAACCAAACCCACTGCCATGGAGTTGGTTTCTGTTCATAGCGACCCCCATAGTTTCCACTGTTGTAAATCTTTACAGAAGTAGATTGCCTCATCTTCCTCCCACGCAGCAGCTTGTGGGTTTGAACTGCCAGCCTTCTGTTTAGCAGCCAAATGCCATATGCACTGCGCCACCAGAGCTCCTTATCCTTTGGTATAGGTTCATAATTTTCTCCACTGCAATAACCAAATAGGTTTTGCACCTGCCCAGAGGTTCCTCTTTGGACCAAGACACTGCCATATATTTATTTACTTCCTAGGCTTTTCTTCCTAATTCCTGATTGAGATATTCCTGTTTTAGGTGTGTAATATTACACTCAGTATAGCCTTGGTCTGGCTAGAGTAAAGCTTTTTTTCTGGCTCGATCCACTCTGCACTGACCTCCAACTAAATTGTCAGGATAGTTTTTATTTTCAAGAGTTTTGAGAACACCTCCTTGTTGACCTCAAATACTGTTCTACATACATCTTATTCCTAATAGATGTTCACAGTTAAGTCCTCATTTACTTCTACTAACTCATGAGCAAAAAAAGAAAAAGAAAAAGAAAAAGCAGCCCCCAGGCCACGCCAGACTAGGTGACGTCCTCAAATCTGGTGAACAAATAAATGCACTTCCCTACTCTTTTTGCCTAATGCAGCTCAGGAAAGCATTATACAGAGCACATCTCCTTCCAGGCTGGAAACTGCCAGAATGCAGGTCTACCTCCACCGATACCGGAGGACTCCGCCCCCAAAGCCGCTCCTCTCCTAGAGTGGTCAGCGTGGACCGTCTAAATTTTAGTTTCCCTCTCGACAGCATTCATGCTCTACTAAAACAAGAAAACGAAAAAATAAAAAGTGAAAAAAAAAGACAGGGAGAAATGTTTTTGTTTTTTCAAAGAAAAAGACACCTTTTAGCAAAACACAGCTGCATTGCTCAGCTGCAGAAAATTCTCTCACCACCCCCAGTCTCTCCAGGGAATTAGGTCCCAGTTCAGAGGGTCAAAAGCAAAAAATCCAGATGATTAGAGTCCAGATAATTATGATCGAGTCGCCTTCTCTCGCCGGCTGGGCCTCGGAATCGGAAGGCCGACCTGCTAGACTTCCCGACTCCACGGCGAGCGAGTAGGTCGTCTTTGCCTGAGGAACCGAGCGGCCAATCGGCCGCAATATCTGAAAAGGGAAGCGCTCCAGCCATAACCAGCTCGGCAGCCACGACCCGCAGCCCCATCCACAAAAAGGGGGGCCGCGGTTCTGCTCCCGACACCAGCACTCAGGTCGCGCCTGTCCATTCTTAGTCTGACCGCGTTTCTTCCGCCCTGAGAGGGCAAAAAGTCCCGCTCCCTCGCGGTCACTTCCAGCCCGCGGTTCAGAGCGCCCCCTAGGAGGGAACCTGAAGAGGCTGCCACGCCTCTGCGGCGATTCTATTACTGCTCGGTTGGGGTTGCCCTGCCCGTCTGCAAGCCGGGCTTCCCCGCCCCTCCCCCACTTTTCCTGCGGCCCACCCCCCCTCCCCGGCGGCCGGAACCTCCCTGCGGGGCGGAGTGATACCGGAGGCGGAGTAGAGCGCGGCGCGGCCGAGAGGGGCGCCGGGGACTGTGCGGGGCGGGCGGCAGGCGGTGGGAGGAGGGGAGAGAGGCGGGGCCGGGGCGGGTTGTTGTGAGGCGACTGCGCTACTGCCGGACCGGGGCGGTTATGGCGGCTCCATATTAACACCCTCCTCCTCCTCCTCCGCCTTCTCCTCCTCCTCCTTTTCCTCCCGCCCGCAATCATAAGCCATCTCCCCCTTCACCCTGACACCTACCTCTTTCCCTCACCTTTCCCCCTCCCCTTTTCTACCATGCCCGGCATGATGGAGAAAGGGCCCGAGTTACTGGGGAAGAACCGATCGGCCAACGGCAGCGCCAAGAGCCCGGCGGGCGGCGGTGGCAGCGGCGCCTCGTCCACCAACGGCGGGCTGCACTACTCGGAGCCCGAGAGCGGCTGCAGCAGCGACGACGAACACGGTGGTAGCCTCGAACTCCTCCCCGCCAGCCCGCCTGCCCCCCTTCCTCCACCCCTCCCCCAGCCCCCTCCCCTCGCCTCGCTCCCGCCCTCCCTCCTCTCCGAGCCCGGGCGCTGCGGTAGCCTCGAACTCCCGGTGCAGTGCAGCAGCACCCCCCGCGACCCCCGTCCCTCCGCCCTCGACCAATCCTCAACCCTCCGCCCCCCCCCGCTCCCCGCCCCCATCCGCTGCCATCTCCCGGAGTGCCCGGAGTTAATATCTTCCCATCCACCTCTGCTGCTGCTGCTTTCCTACCCAAGCAATTTTTATATTTTATTAAGTGTCTCTTTTTCTTTTCTCTTCTCTTTCTCTTTTTTTTTCTTCTTCTTTTTTTTTTTGGCATTACCTTGCAGATGTTGGGATGAGAGTCGGAGCTGAATACCAAGCTCGGATCCCTGAATTTGATCCAGGTAGATATATTTCCTCAAACAAAATTATGTGTTTCCTTTTCTGCGATTGCTTTTGGGTGGAAGGGATAGAGTGCGGGCGGGGTAGGGGTCTGGATATGGGGTTGGGAGTGGATGCGGGCTTGGGATGGGCAGGCATCTCTGGCGGGGAGGCTGTCTAGTCTTGGCAGGGCTGTGACACAGGGCGTGTGGGCAGATGTGTGCATTGCAAGGTTAACATGGTTGCCTTTGGAAGCCACTTGCCCGCTGGTGGCAACGCCTTCCTACCCCCTGAGCCTGGAGAGAGGTCGGGGTGAGCAGAGGAAGATGGCCCTTGGCTGGTTGGGGAGGGGGGTCTGAGGCCGGAGGAGGAGCAACTGGAGGAGGGTGTGAGGGATGTGTGTGGAAGAACCCAGCAAATGTCAGTTGCCACATAACCGGCCCCCGGGAGCCAAGGGCTGCGCTCGGCAAGGGCGGTGGGTGCCTGGGCTGCTGTCACCAGCCAAAGCCAAGGGCGAGCCCTGCCCGACCCGCGCACATTCGGGGTTTTCTTTCTTTTTTGGCTAGGTGGAGTAGCTTGGGTCGCGGCATCTCTCTGCACAGTGTAGGAACCCCGGAGATAAAGGGGTGGGAGAAGGAGGTGGGGAAACGCCAGAGGCACACCTCGCTGGCTACCCAACCCTAGGAAGTCAGACCACAGGACAGTGGCTGTAGCTGCCAAGGAGACATTTTCTCCTCGAGCAGCCAGGTTCCAGCGTCCTCTGCCAACCCAGCTTGCGGGCTCCCTGTCTACTTTTCTCCAAACAGGCTCTCTGGCGGTCACGGGATTTCTGCCTGGACGGGGATTGGGCGAGAGTTCCGCATATGGAGGCGCCCTTGCTGGAGCCTCTCTTGGAGTGGAGCGTGCTTCCTTCTCCCTCCCATCCCTGATCCAGACCCTCTCAGTTAAGGCTGTGGATAGATTTTGAAAATGGCCTTTTTTTTTTTTTTTTTTTTTAAGACAGTTGGTCAATTTTTGCCCAGTGCCCACTGCTTATAACGTTGGCTGTGTCGGACTTTTGAATTCTGTGTTATACGTGAAAGAGCTTACTTGTATTTTCTTAGGGGAAACGGCATCTTTATTTGATTATAGGGTATAGATAGGTATTTTGTTCCTCCTCTCCCCAGTAGAGCAATGCAAAATTATATTTAGCAACCATTTAAGGAATTTAGGTAGCAGAGTGGCAGGGTGACTCTTGGCTTTTCCTGTCTCAAAAAAGGAAGGTAAAATTGTGTGTTAAAAGGATTATCAGGGCAGTCTATTGTCCAATAGATAAAAACAGTGATACAAGAATGCTCACTAGATTTTGGTCATCTTCTAGATAACATGGATGTTAATGCATTGTTTTCAACGCTTATCATCCTGTCGTGATCTTCAAATAATTTTACATGTTTTATGAAACTAATTCTCTTCATTGATGTGGCTAGTAGGTGAAGGACACTTAGCCATTACTGGTGGTCATGAGATTTCTGCCTAGATGACAGAAATCCTCAGATTTTAGCTTGACATTTGTAAAGAGCATGCTTGGATTTAAGATAGATGGAATTGAATTTCTAACTCCCAACTCTTTATTTTGTGCTTTAACCAAGTCATTGGCCTTCCCTGAGTCTCAATTTTCCTAGCTGTAAAATGGAAATAAAAACTACTTCATGGCGTTCTTGTCAGAATTAAATGAGAATAACACACCGGACACATGCAGTTAGTTATTCAATAAAGGTTAAATTTCATAATTACAGTTAGGATTATAGATACATCTACGCTTTTCTGAATTGGGGCTTCCATTGCTATTCTGCGCTTTTCTCTTTACCCCGTTAGGAAGGTTTATGAGTCAATATTAACTGATTAGGCAGCTATACAAAAATTTGTGTTCTTTCTGAACACGTTTATTAGGAGGTATGTAGTGTATTAGGAGCTCTGGTAGCATAGTGGCTAAGACACTTGACTGCTAACCAGAAGGCTGGCGGTTCAAACCCACCAGCCACTCCTCGGAAGGAAGATGGGACAATCTACTTCCGTAGTGATACTGCCTCGGAAACCCAAGGAAGGGTCACTATGAGTCGGGTCCGACTCGATGGCACATAACAACAACAATGTAGTGTATTTAAGAGCCAGATTTTATTCTGGAACAAACTCACACATGCCAGGTCCTGATCGCTGTGAAGCATTTTTTGTTTTATGATAAACTAAGCATTGGGACAGTTTGAAAAATCTGGAGAATAATTTTTAAGAGATGCAGAACACTTTAGGTAGTTTACGCACAGCCAATATTTGAGTTATCCAACTTTCTCAATCATCATATTGTGCTTGTTTTAAACCTAAAAAGAATGTTGTGGAAGAATCTTGAAGTTACTACTGTTTTTAAAATAATTAGTCATTTTCAATTTATTTAGACTTGATACTACTTTTTAGAATAATAAATATCACATTCCTTAAATTCACATACTCATTTTCTCCTCGGTAATCTTCTCTAGAAGAAAATTGAACCCAAAGACAAAAATAAAACCAGTTAACTATTTAAGTTTAGGTGGACTTTTATATGATTATAGGTCAACCTGGTCAAGCCAGTGTAAATTATCAATTATTAGAGACTTTTACCAGAGAATTTCAAACCTCTGTGTTATTCAGCTAGTACTGCTGGTGACATTTGTGTTGTGCTGGTGTTTGAAGTTGTTGTTTCATATCAATTCAATATAATTAAGTATTTCAGTTAAGTTTATAATATAAACATTTTTTTTTGGAAAAATAAAAATAGAAAAAGGATATTTGTTAATTGATGATAAAAATTGAGAAATTGTCATCTCCTCTCCTTTTCTCTTTCTCATTCCATTATCTTTAGGATCGTAAACCACTCTGTAGTGATTGTTCACCCATAGCCCTTCTAGTCATTTGGAGGAAGAATGCCTTGAGTGCCAATGTTACTATTTTCAGAATGCAGGAATAATAAAAGAGGACTTTTTTTTGTGGAAGATACCTTTACTGGAAGAGATGATAGTGATGGTATTAGAATTAAGCACAGAACGAATGAATTATTGAGCTGACTTTTAAAAAATCTTAACAAGAATTAAGATTTATGCAGAAATTACTGAGGTTAGGAGATTAGGAAGGTTTGCCTTAATTAAGGGACCATTGCTAATCATGGGTTATGCTTCACTAACCAGATTTCTGATTGTTACGTGATTTTTTTTTTGCTTGATTCTTTACTAGGTCTTCTCAGCTTTTTTCTCGTCCTTACTTAATATGTTTATATTATGAGGAGCAGTCTTGTGTGGTGATTAAGAGTGTTACCTCTTATATGCATTTAAGCTAAGAAGACATAGTGACCTTGGATGAACTCCCTGGCTTGTCCAGACCTTAGTTTCATCATTTGTAAAAGGGAGACAATAACTAAATTATAAGGTTAAGTGAAAATGAATGTATATAAAGCAGTGGTCTTCAAAATATTTTGCTTGTATATTCACAAAAGAAATTTGAAAAGGGTTTCTCTCACATATTTTTAAGTTGACATCTGGTTTTCCCTGTGAGTTGAAGAATGTAATCTCCAGTGTATTGGGAATATTAACACTTTGAAATAAAGCTGTTATGTTCTTATTTTAAATGCATATAATTAAACACAAATACTATAATGATTTGATAGTACCTGTTTTACAAAGTACTTCAACAGGCTTCTAACAGACTGAAAGTTTACGTTGTTCCAGTTTGTCTTTAATACCATTTCCATGTACTTTCCTCATGGACTATTATCTTCCATAATACATTTTTTGTACTTGGAAGCACTTTATTAATCACGTATCCCCTACCACCAGAATATGTATTCTTGTGAGCATAAACTTCTAAGTTAAATCTCTTCTGGCTTAAGTTATTATAATTATTTATACATAATTGATTAAAATTATAGTGATCATGATTGAAAGAGATCCCTGGTAACAGTGTTTGGTGCCCTGGAGGTTTGAAAATTTTCAGCAGTCTACTCTTCTTGTAAGATTTGGGATAAGTGAGAGATTTGCCTTTCTCTCTTAAAATAAGAAAAAGGCATTTGTAAAGAGAAAGGTGGAAAAGTAGGACCAGCACATATAGCCTAGAATGCAAGTCAGTTCTTCGGCAGATCAGTCTTGCAAAAGAGAACATAGGGAAGTTACAGCTCTGAAAATTGCTCCCCTTAAAACATATTCATACTCATGTACTTCTTGGAAAGCCTTGTGTACCCTAGTTGGAAGTTGGTGATATTAAGTATATTATTCAGTGCCTGTATATGCATAGAATTTTTAAAAAATATTTAGAGCTTCTTAATATTTTACAAATTTAAGTGTTTATGTAGTATATTTATTCCATGATCTCTATCAAAGTCCTTGTTTTGTATCTCTTTCAGGAAATGTGAAAATTAATAAAATATTTTAATTTTCATATTGAAATTTGGTACCGATAGAGAAACCCCAGCTTAATCACATTTTATTTTTGCTTCTTAATTGTTTTTTCTTAGTAGTCACATAAACGTACTTCACCAACTCCAGTTGAGATCTAACTTTCAAGAATTTTATCTAATACTTTTTAAAACTGTACAACAGTTTTAATGTCAGAACTGATATACCACTAAGTCTTAAAATTGTCATAGTTTGATGTCTAGATTTTGGTTTGTTTTTAAATCCACTTGGGAGATATTATACTTGTAAGCTTTAATTATTATTGCTAGTCAAATTTTATTCTTGGCATTATTTTTGATTATCACACAGTTTTGAGGTATAGTCTTAAATAATGCTACAGGTAAAAATTAAATAAATTTGTTTTATGTACTTTAAATATTCATTTCCATCTTTATAAGGTAAAACTTAATTGGATGGAAAACGTCCGGGGAGGGTAGATGAATTGTTTTTAATAATACAAGTTACTTTTATAGAAGAGGAATCATGTCTGAGTTTCAGAAAAACAAGATCATATCAGCCATTCAAGTGTACTTCATGGATTGGTGAGCATGAGCATTAGCCATTTGAGTTATAGCCACATTAGGTTTATTTATTTATTTGTAGTAGATTGGTGGCTGAAAAGAAGTGTTTACCAGGGTAAGGAAAGAACTATCTTTAATAAGAATATGATAGTAGTAATTATGTTTTATAGTATGCCAGGTGCTTTACGTATAAATTCATTTAATTCTTTGAGCAACTCCGTAAAGTAGGTACTCTTACTATACCTGTTTTTTCAGATGATGAGAAAGAGGTACAGACGGGTTAAGTAGATTTGTGCAAGGTGAAACATCTAGTAAGTGGCAGAGCTGTCCACACTCTTAACCATTAATTACATTAAAATATCTTTCATTTCCTGCGAGCATCAGTCTTCTTTTGGGCCTGGTTGGCACATTCAGGATTGTTGTTGTTAATGTGCCGTTGGGTCAGACCTGACTCATAGCGACCCCTCCTTGGGTTTCCGAGGCAGTATCACTACGGAAATAGTTGCCCCATCTTCCTTCTGAGGAGTGGCTGGTGGGTTTGAACCGCCAGCCTTCTGGTTAGCAGTCAAGTGCCTTAGGAACTAAGCTACCAGAGCTCCTCATTCCGCATTAGGAAAAGAGTATTTCTAAAGTGCCTAATTAGGGATTCTCTGCTACCAGATAGGACTTCCATACAATCCCGCAATTTAGAAGACCAGTTAGTTCCTACAGCTTGGATGCCAGTTTCTGCCAGATCAGGCCCTTAATTACAATGCTAAGAATTTTGGGATAAATATAACTGTTCCTCTTCATGGAGGAAATCTGTAGAAAATACTTTGTATCTTTCTAAGAATAAAAAATAGTATGTAGACAAATGAAATCATTTTCTGCAATGTAAGAATGAGGTTCAAGGAAAATGTTTAAATATTAACTATAATATGCTACTAAGACTTGAGGCTTAATGTAGACTTTTCTTTGTTACATTCTAATATTTACTGAGTAGGATTTAAGTGATCTTATTGTAACAATCCATTGTGCATGTTAAAAGATTTTCGTTTAGGATATTTACGGGAAAAGCAGTAGATTTAATTAATTAAATAAAGGCCTCTGACCCAGGTTATGTTTTATTTTCCTGAGCAGTTTGGCAATTTTGCTTTAGGATGTTTAGTTACATGGTTAAAAATATGTATATCTTAGTACTGAAGTTTTTAAAAAGCATTTTAAAATGTATTTTCCTTGAATATATTTTAATAATCAACTTCTAACTTGTATTTTCTTGAATTCTAAGCTCCTGTTACTGTTCTTTTATGAAAAATAGTTGTGGGAAAGCACAGTAGGTTTTAACTTTTATTAAAATTTGTAATGATCATTTTTTCTAGTACATTGTTTTTCCTGATTTTTTTTCCTCCATCCTTAATTTTTCCTAATAATAAAATAGATATAATTTTAAAACAATTTTACCTTTGTATTTCATTAACAGTGTATCAACCTTCAACTAAAATTTACTGATAGAACTTAACAGTGGTAATGTATGTAGTTGTAGATTACATAGCTGTAGCTCCCTCACTTCTATAACTGAACGTTTTTTATTCCAAATATCTAATAACTTTATAAGTGATTACAATTTAATCTCAGAATTCTATGTTAATTTTTTGAGAATGATTTGGGAATTCTGGCATTAGTTACTGTCAGCTATCAATACCTCATAAAAATAAAATACAACATGTTGTTGTTATGTGCCGTTGAGTCGAATCTGACTCAAAGCGACCCCTCCTTGGGTTTCCAAGACCGTATCACTACAGAAGTAGATTGCCCCATCTTCCTTCCGAGGAATGGCTGGTGAAAATATGACATAGGCAAAAAACTAAACTGTTTACCATCAAGTGATTCTAACTCATGACCTTATCTTTGTCAGTGTAAAACTGTGCTCCATCGGGTTTTCAGTGGGTGAATTTTTGGAAGTGAATTGCCAGGCCTTCTTTCCAAAGTGCTCTAGGTAAACTCATACCTCTAACTTTTCAGCTAATAGCTGTGCTAACCATTTGCACCACCCAGACTTGTATTCATGAGCAAGTCTTAAAATATGTGCCAGCAGTGCTTCATTTGTTGATAGCTTATTATTTTTTTAAAACACTGTGAATTGGGTGAAAATTTACAGAGCAAATTGGTTTCTCATTCAACAGTTCATACACATTTTGATTCATGACATTGATTACAGTCCCTACAATGTAACAGCACTCTTCCCATTTCCTCCTTGTGTTTTACTGTTTCCCTTGATCTTTCTTTTCTATCACTTTCTGCTTCCTGAGCTTTATCTCTGGGCAAATGCTACCCTTTTAATCTCGTTATGATTGGTTGTTCTAAGGAGCACATACCTCCCCCGTGTTATTGTTCACCATATAGACCTGCCTATTGTTTGGCTGAAAGTTGAGCCACAGGAGTGAGTTTGGTTCTGGGCTTGAACAGTGTCTAAGGGCCATAGTCTCAGAGGTTCCGCCAGTCTTTTTCAGATCAATAAGATGTAATTTTTTAAGATTTTGAATTTTGTTCCACATTTCCCCCCAACTCTATCGGGGACCTTCTCTTGTGAGCCCTTTCAGAGCAGTGGGCAGTGGTAACCAGGCACCACTAGTTCTGGACTCAAGGTCATGGAGGCTGAGGTTCACATGGTTGATCTATAAATTTGTTTCCTTGTGTCTTTGATTTTCTCGTTTGTTGATAGTTTTCAGTAACTTAACTGCAATTAAAAGTTAGGAAGAAGTCAGGAAAAGATCACTGAGAAATTAAAATAGAAGCCAGAACCTCCATGCATGTTCTTAACTTAGATGTCAGACTTTTCATTCATTCTATTTATTAATTTACATGCAGTTTTAATAGAGCTTGATTTTTTTTTTTTTTTTTTTGTGATTTGGGTGAAAATTTACAGAGCAAATTCACTTTCCACACAGCAGTTCACATACACTTTGTCTCATGACATTGACCACAATTTACCACAAGGTAACAGCTCCCCTCCCACTTCTTCGCCATAGTTACCTCTTCCTTGTGTCCATCCCTCCATGCACTCCTGCCCCCTAAGCTGTCTTCCTGTGCATAAGCAGTAATAGGGCTTGATTTTCCTGACTTTCTAGATAACAACAGATTAGAAATAAATTAGAAACAGGCATATTCCTCTAGATTAAAAACAGACTCTCAGGTTGCATTAAGAATAAATAGCATTATTAACTTTTGTATCTTTGATTTAGCTTTCTTTTTACACTGAACCTGTGATACTTTTATAAACAAAATGTAACAAATGAAATTGTTTAAAGAAGAATAGCTAGCAGACTTTTAGTGAGGAATAAGATTAAATAGAAATCATAAAAAAGCAGGCACAAGTATTATAAACCTGACCCATTTAGATAATGGGGCAAAACAATACCTGAAGCATTACTTGCTTAAATTAAAGTCAGTTTTTTAAATGATGACCTCTAAGTAATGTATAAAAGATTAAATCAGATTAATTGTCTTCTATAAAGCAAGGATATATAATGTACTTAAGAAAATATTTGAGCACAAAACTAGTCTATTTTTTATGTATGCTTCGGCATCTGCAAAATCCCTTCATTTCCCGAAATGGTATTTACTATATTTAATGTAAATCTTTCTTTTTCCCTTTGTTTCTTTGTCTTCCTTTGCAGGTACTGTACTAAAATAGAAATAAAGCTTAACGTTGTTTATACTTATTTTGAAAGTAAGTGAAATCCATCATATTCAGTGTAATTAATTTTTTACCTAGGTGCTACAAAATATACGGATAAAGACAATGGAGGAATGCTTGTATGGTCTCCATATCACAGTATCCCAGATGCCAAATGTAAGTTTTCTGAAATTGAATGTTTATGTGAACAGTAATCATCAGCTGATTAAAAATGCTGCTTATATTTGTTTTGGGGCGACCTCTTAGATTCTTATAAGAAAAACATTTTGTCTTTATTGTTTTGGTTTTTTAATGGAGGTTGTTATATTAGAGTGTTTTTCCTTTTGAAAGATAGTGGGTTGATCACTCCAATTTGTCAGGCCCATGAAGAATGAACAAACCTAGGATCTGATGGCATTGCTGCTTAAATCCTCAAGCAGGAAAGGGAATTACTATATAGACATCTGCACAGGCTTTTCCTCAGTATAAGGAGCTGTAAAGAAATGCCTTCAAACTTCAAAGTCCACTATCATTACCATTATAAAGAGGAAAAGGGGAAAGAACTGACTTCAGCAGCCATCAGGTCATCTTTGTGCTCTCCATTTCTGGACGGAGACCTTCCGGATCATTGACCATGTACTTCTTGGTGTGACTTTAGACTTCAGTGTGATGTAGCAGACCTGATCCTTTGCGGCACATCAGATATAGGAAACATGCAGGTAACAAACAACGCTAAGATCCCCACCCTCCATGTAGTTATCATTGAATTTATAAAACAACATTGAACATCTATTCTGGAAGCTGAAAACTAAGCTTGTTTTTTCTAAATATTTACTAACATCTTAAAGATGTTCCATGGTGGTTATTTAGTCCCCTAAAAATTAAAGATGTCCCGTAGTAATACTGCCTTGAAAACCCAAGGAGGGGTCGCTATGAGTTGGGGCCGACTTGATGGCACATAACAACAACATGTTGTGTGCTTAGTAAGTTTAATCACAGTTACTGATGCAATAAGAGAACTAAAACTTGACAGCTGAGTATGCTTCTGCATACCTGGTAATTCTTTCTCTTTAAGAGATTTAGAAACCCAGCAAAAGATCTACCTAGTAATCTATGGATCATATGTCTTTGAGGCCTTCTTAACAGAAAATAGGAAGTTATTCAGTTGGCCTTGGACTATGTATTGAGAAACTTGAAAGAGACTGTTGGGATTCTCTGGTTTAGTCCTCGTTATGTCAGAGGTTTTCATTCACAAACTAAGCATCAGCACATCATTGAATTTTGCTGTTTTTGCATTTTGTTTTTTGCATTGGTGCATTTCTTAGCAAAGTGGAAAACAAAATTCTAAAGCTAATATGTGCTGGTAACATAGTGTTCATTTGAAATGTTCAACTGAAGATCCAGGGTAGTAGTTTTCAGCCCTGGCTACACATTGGAATAACTCGAGAAACTAAAAAAAAAAAAAATATCTGGTCACTGTATCAAGCTAATTAAATCAGAATTATCAGGGGTGGAAGCTGAATATCTTATTTTTTAAAAGTTCTCTCAGTGGTTCTAATGCATAACCACAGTTGAGAACCCCACAGGTCTATTGGTATTGTTTAGCTTCTGTAGGAATGTAAGACATTTTTGTTAATCAGCATGTATTTAGACCCGTCTTATGTTTTAGGTCCTATGGGTTCTAAACAAAGTGTAACATTGGTATGTTCTGCACCAAAAGCTTACTCTTGGGAACATGTAACATCCATAAAAGAAAGTTGTCATTCTGATAACATTATTATTATAATAGCATATTCATATATAACATTGTACTCTACTGATAGAATAATAAGAAATACTTATAAAGTACTTATAATGTGCCTGCTGGGTGCTGTTCTAAGCACTTTACATATATTAATTCATTTAATCCTAGGAGGAAAGCATTGTTTTTATCACCATTTTAAAATGAGAAAATAGAGGTACAGAAAGATCGAGCACCTTGCTCAGAATCAAAAAGTTAACATGGCTGAAACTCAAACCCATGAAGATGACCTGTTCCAGGATCAGAATTCCTAACCACTGTTGGTCAAAAATATATATATATATATATATATATATATATATATATTTATAAACTTACTGCATATATACATACATACATGTGTACATATAAATATATATTTATACACACACACACACATTCCACTGCTATCAAGTTGATTCCAAGACATAGTATCCTGTAGAACAGAGTAGAACTGCCCAGAGGGTTTCCAAGACAGTAAATCTTTATGCAAGCAGACTGCCACATTTTTGCCTGCAGAGCAGCTGGTAGATTCAAACTGCCAACCTTACAATTAGCATTCAAGTGCTTTAATGACTGCATCACCAGGGCTTGCTCTGAGGGCACTTTCTCCCTATCTCTACATTTACTTTAAAGGATCAAGAAGGAATGACTATGTGGACTTCACACAAAACTTAGTTCTACTGAATGTGAAATGGTAGACTTCTGAGCAGTGAGACTTTGAAATAGCCAATATGTCATTATTGAAGCAGCACTTATCTAAATAATCCTGTTAACTTGATTACACATGGAAGATGAATGAAAATAGAATACTCAAATACCTCTTATAAAACAAACAGGAAAAGCTGAAGAAAATTTTAGATACTGAAAAACCAAAACCAAACTCACTGCCACCTAGTTGTTCCAACTCATAGCAACCCTACAGAAGAGAGTAGAACTGCCCTGTGGGGTTTCCAAGGGTGTAAATCCATGTGGAAACAAATTGCCACATCTTTCTCCCAGAGAATGACTGGTGGCTTTGAAGCGCGAACCTTTTGATTAGCAGCTGAGCAGTTTAACCACTGTGGTACCAGGGCTCACTATAAGGATATTGAAACTCACTGCCATTGAGTTGACTCTGACTCATAGTGACCCTGCCTTGGGTTTCCAAGGAGGTATCTCTATGGAAGTAGATTGCGCCGGCTTCCTTCTGAGGAGTGACTGGTGTGTTTGAACCGCCAACCTTCTGGTTAGCAGTCAAATGCCTTAGGCGCTACTCTACCAGGGCTCCTAATAGGGATAGTTTTGCCAGCTGTGAACATAATAAGAGTGATACATTTAAACATGCTTCTGCGTAAGTATGCTGAAGTATGTTTAAATATTTCAATCACTCTTATGTTTACAGCTGGCAAAACTATAGATAAACCATCCTTTATGGAGTAGTCAGAAATGTGGTGGAAAAGGCTTTGAGGCAACTCGAAATACAAGAGTGTCTTAAACAGTCCAATTTCTTCAAATAAGGAATGGAACAGAAAATCAAGAAATTATCCTAACATTTTACATTGTAATTAGGGTCTATTGGCTATCCACACATTGGTCTTTTTCTGCATAAAAACAATTATAATAATGTCATTGAATTGAATGAGTATATGATATATGGTCATATAGACATGAGTGATACTAAAAATTTTCGGTGAGCTTTTGGTCTTGTTTATATAATTGAAAGCCTCTCATAACATTTCATGGAAGATGGCTTTGGCTATTTTTTTTTTATTCCTGGACTATATTTTGTTTGCTTTGTTAAAAAAGTAGATCTTGACAAATGAAATAAATGAAAATAATTAATTATATAACATTTTGTTACAGTGGATGAGTATATTGCAATTGCAAAGGAAAAGCATGGCTACAATGTGGAGCAGGTACGTAGAGAAACATTTTAGTATTAAGGTTTGCCTCAGAGTTTACCAAATCCAAAGAATATCTAATGATAGTTTCTATCCTAAGAAAGTACATACATAGATACCACAAAGGTTCTGGCAAAGTTTGACCTTTTCATTAGTAAGGATATTCCTTTTATAAACATTATTTATCTCAAATGCCTGAGCACTTTTCTCTCAATACCTTTGTTTCCTATTCTGCTTTGAGTTCTGAAAGTATCTAAAAGCCTTTAGGATTACTCTAGCAGGTGCTTCTCAAAATGAGAAATAAGTTTTGATATATTTTGGGGTAAATATACATTAATAGAATTTTAAAACAGTTGTTTGAAAATGAAGAATATAGGTAATTTTCTTTTGACTTTTTGATCCGGGAGATCTAAAAGTTAAGCTTACTATTTAAAGAAATATGTAAGATTTTAATTTTGAATGAAATCATTCACAAGAGGTTATTTTATTTTGTTTGGTTAGATGACTTTAATAGGCCAATGTATATGGTTCATTATCTCTAGTTATGAGAGAGTATAAAACATGGATAAAGGAATTAATTAAACATTCTTAAATCTCATCTCAACTGTGTATATCGGTCTTTATCAGAATAGGCAGATTTGTTTTTAGACTATGAAAGATATTTGTAACCTGGATTACCCAGATCTTTTTATACTTGGTAAGTATAAAGTATAATAAAGTAACATAATTAATGTGAAATTGGCATTTCTTTCCAAATGAAGTTAATTTTTTTTGTGTGGATTTTGAAGCTTTTAATTGTGTATTTTGTTTTTAAGCCTTGACTTTTGGTTTAAGACTTATTTGAGAACATTAATCCTTTAATATGTGACTGCTATATGTTTTTTTTTTCACATTCGTTTTAAAGGTAGCATAGTGCCTAAGGCACTTGACTGCTAACCAGAAGGCTGGCAGTTCAAACCCACCAGCCACTCCTCGGAAGGAAGGTTGGGCATTCCTACTTCCGTAGTGATACTGCCTCGGAAACCCAAGGAGGGGTCGCTATGAGTCGGGGCCGACTCGATGGCAAATAACAACAACAACAACATTACCAAAGTTCATAAATTATCTTCCAAATTCACTATTTTAAAAGTTGCTGTTTCTCTTTTCAAAAAATAAAAGCTTATCCTCTAAATAATACTTAATACTTTATGATAAAGATAAAGGCCTATTTATAATAGAGAGGAGAATTACGGAATTACCAGAAGGTGTCCACTTCAGGCTTTCCAGTAACTTTGGTGATCAAGTCATTAAAGTTATTGCTAAGAGTTGTAGTAATTCTATGTATGCATTATGATAATAAGGAACTTTAAAAAAAAGTGTTAAAATATTAAGTTGTTAAAGTTGCTGTTGAAGTCCTTTTATATATACTTATATACTTCTGAAAAATTATATACTTCTGAAAAATTAAAATTTAATTATTTTTCTACTAAATTCCCTTTCCACTGAGTGCTTTTGGTTTTGTGCTGTAATTAATAGTTTCAGGCTTCACTCAAATATTGATTTATTATATATTTCCCTTTCTGCATATTTTTAAAAATACATTAACAAATGGATAAATAATGGGGAAAAGTCTTGATATGAGCCTGCAAACCCGCTTTAGTAGTTATAGTCATTTTCCTCAGCTCACTGTTTTTCCTAGATTCTGCAGCAAATATGGTATGTAAGAACATTCACTGTTCTGAGGCCCTGATTTAAAAGAAATAACTAAAATGAGCTCTACTACTTGGGTACCCTTAATTAAAAGCCCTAAACTGTGAGTGAATTTTCAGTTGAACTTCAGGCTTAAAATTTTAACCTAATTTGTGTTAAACTTTCTTAAGTGTGATGGAACATAAGTCCATTAAAACCAAAGGGGAATGATTTCTCTTCAAAGGCACTTGGCATGTTGTTCTGGCATAAACATAACATTGAGAAGTCCCTTGCTGATCTCCCTAATTTCACTCCCTTTCCGGATGAGTGGACAGTGGAAGATAAAGTCCTATTTGAACAAGCCTTTAGTTTTCATGGGAAGAGCTTTCACAGGATTCAGCAAATGGTATGGTAATTTTGGTCTTACTGTGATTCATACTTGAATGACATCTTATGCTTTTGTTAAGTACTTCTTAATTATTAAATTAAAAAGTTTTCCAATTTTAATTTTAAGAAAGTTTTGAAATTGACATATTTGCATACAATCATATTTTCTGTAACCATTGTAATGTGTGAAAGTTAAGTGCTATTTTACAATAACAATTTAGTGTTTATTTTGATTAAATATGTATGTAATGGTTACTAAATACGTTTTCAGTTCCAGGAATAAAATCATAATTTCAATTGGATTTTTAAATGTTTAATATTTTATTATTCGAATTTTGTTTTCTACCTTATGTTCTTTTGGCTGTGAAAGCCCATTTTCAATCATTTCTTATTTCACTTTTATCCAAGTGCTACTGCTTTTTTTAAAGGAGAAAAACTGCTTTATATTTCTGGTGCTTAAATGTTTTAGTGTTGTGTCAAAATAATATAAACCTTGAGAAGTTTTGTGCAATAAACTCTTTTAACCTGAGTGGGTGGAAATTAGACAGTGTTTGCAAATATATCTAGGTGTCTTCCATAATTGAAGAGGAAATTTTTGATGAGTGTACATTCTTGTTTGCCAGTATGACAAATCAGTGCATGGTCATTAGTCATTGTAATACCCAAAGACTTTAATAGTGGGTAAAGTGTGTTTGTGCTATTTATCATTTTAAAACCTGGACTTAAAATTATTTTAAAAATTTACTGCTAAAGAATTGAATGCCTCTTCTTGAAAAGAATTTGATGAGTAAAAGACACTAGCTACATAAGGCTACATATTATATGATCCCATTTACATGAAATGTCCAGAATAGGGGCTGTAGGGAGGGAGGAATGGAGAGAGACTGGTGATGGGTACAAGATTTCTTTTGAGAGTGATGAAAATGTTCTAGAATTAGCAGCTGTGGTTATACAACATATGAGTATACTACAAACCATTGAATTGTACATTTTAAAATGATAAATGTTATGGTATATGAATTCTGTCTAAATAGAAAAAGTTCCACTTCACAGATGAGGAAAAACAATTGAATCACTTTTTTGGGGGGGAAAAAATTGAATACTAACATAGCTATGCTGGGGGACTTCTAAGGCCATTCTGACTATTAGGTTGTGATCCCTTCCCCTCCCTGACACATAGAAATATTTGTTCAGAAATGTAAATGACGTAGTTTGGCCTGGTACTATGACTTTAACAGCACCACTTAGCTCTGTAATTCATAAAGGTACCTATGGACATTTTCATTAATGCTTTTATTTGCTGTGTATCAAAAATATTAGTCATTTTATTAATTTATGACTTAAACTTGCTGATTTAACATATGTTTGGTTTTTTTTTTTTTTTTAAGCTTCCAGATAAGACAATTGCAAGCCTTGTAAAATATTACTATTCATGGAAAAAAACTCGATCTAGGACTAGTTTGATGGATCGCCAGGCTCGTAAACTAGCTAATAGACATAATCAGGGTGACAGGTAGGTTGGATGCCTTTATTTAATTACATTGCTAGGGGCAGTGCATTGGGTTGCTTATATCTCCTAAAGCAGAAAAATTATCACAACATTTTATAAATACTTCCTATCCTTACATCTGTTTCTGCTCTGACAGGAAAAGCTGAGGGGTCGGAGATCTTAATAGTAAGAACTCTCTTCAACCCTTTAATTGTTAATTGTAACCAGCAAACGTCCCAGCTGAATTATATTTGAGCTGTGGTTAGCAATAATCACAAATGTTTCCTGTTAGTATTGATATAATCAATTCATATATTTAGAATATATTATAGAATATATTCTTTGGAAGATGCTCTTTCTATAATTATCTGAGGAACTAGAAGCCCACATTATTGTAACTAAACCTTTCTAGTATTATAAAATCGTTTTATTTACTAGTTTTGGTCAGTCTATATCCTCTGACCAGAGAACTAAAATTATGTTCATGTTCTCTTTCCCAAATAATTTTTTCTAAATCCATTTCCAACTGAGTCGCTCTCTCTTTTTTTAGCTAAGTGATTCCATGTGTCCAAAGGTTAAATGTTTCTAAATACTATAAAAATCTAAATTTTATGTTCATCTTCCTAAGGTCAACTATTATTCCATTGAAAATTATTTGTAAAATTATTAGCAGGGTATATTAAAGTGTGATAAGAGGACTGAAATAGAGTTAAAAGGAGGGAATTAAGCTTACTAATCTTTCTTCTCAGTGATGATGATGTGGAGGAAACACACCCCATGGATGGAAACGATAGTGATTATGATCCTAAAAAGGAAGCCAAAAAAGAGGTAATGATGATTATGAATTCGAGTGCTTGTTATTGTTCTACGAATTCACTCAAAAATAATGAATAGTACTTGATATTGGGAAAAAACCTTTATTATATAAGGGTTTAAATAAAGCTATCTGCCATCTAGTTCATCTGACTCGTGGAGACCTCATGTGTTGTCAGAATAGAGCTGTGTTCTGTTGGGTTTTCAGTGGCTGATTTCAGAAGTAGATCAATCAGGCCTTTATTCTAAGGCCACTCTGAGTGGACTCTAAGCTTTTGGTAGTTGAATGGGTTAACCATTTGTACTACTCAGGGACTCCATAAAGTGGTTTAGGGAGTGGAATATTGCAGTGCTAATTAGAGGTTTTTGGAACTACAGCACTATCTAGAACCCCAATTAGCTAGTGGCTTAAGTAATTTTTGGTTTTCTCAACCACAGAGAAGTGTAAAAACTGCCATGATCCATAGTCTTTAATCTGTGGAAAAGATACATAACCATTCTCAGATAAGGGTAAAATTAAGCTTTTTGGGTTTGTTACCCACTTTTCCTTGCAAACATTTTGTTTGTCCCATGTTACAGGAAATTACACATTAGTAGCATATCTACAGGAGCCCTAGTGGCACAGTGGTTAAAGTACTTGGCTACCAAGTGAAAGATTGGCAGCTCAAACCCACCAGTCACTCCGTGGGAAAAAGAAGTGGCAATCTGCTTCCGTAAAGATTTACAGCCTTGGAAATCCTATGGGGCAGTTCTGTTCTGTCCTATAGGATCACTATGAGTCTGAATCAATTTGACAGAAATGGGTTGGTTGGTTGGCTTAGCATACCTGCTACTAAGATATATTGACAGCAGTGAAAATTGAAATTCTACACGTTGCCTACCATACCTCTACCCCACATAAAACTTGGCAAATAACTTCACCTTGTCCTGCACAGAAAGTATCAAGCAGGAACTCCCTTAAATTCTAGCCCTTACTATCACCTTTGTGCTATCATCCTACTCTTAGCAACTTAATGCATTTGTGTTTGAAACATTATTGGAAGATCCCAACTAGAAAAGCACTCATAATCTTCAATATAATGACAATAATGATTTAAAATCAGTAAGAAAGGCTGTATTGATATTCATACTCTTGCTATTAAGGCAAGGAATTAAAACGCTATTAAAAAAAAAGGCAAAGTTGATGTATAAAAGCATGTTGATGGATAAAATTTGCAAGGTATAGGTAGTTGTGGAATAATGAAAAGAATACTGGAATTGGAGATAGTTTAAAGTTAGCATTTACTAGATTCATGACCTCGTCCAATTTAATGGCTCGTTCTTCTTCAGGTATTCATTGTCAAGGCCCATTCTGGCCCTTATCATCATCCTAAACTCTTTCATCTATGAAATTTTAAAAATCCTTCTCTTAGCGCAACTTTGTATTTTTAATCATTACTGCTAAATAATACTAAATTCCTTGGTTCTTTCACTTTTTCCTCTAAGTTTGTCAGTCTGTTCCTTACATTTATTTTCCTGAACCATAGACCCAGTGATCAACTAGCTTGAATTGCTGTCTTCCTAGTATCTTTAACTCCCATTTCCTTTATCCTTCTGCTATACCCCATCCAACCCTATAAACCCACAAGCTGGAGCAGTTACTATTCTTGTTATAAGAGGCACAGCCCAAGAAAATGACACAATTATATACATTGTTGCTACTACAAACAGTAGTTTCCAATCTCAGTGTAGTCTTTAGTGCTTGTCATTTTTTAACCTCTAAACCTGTTTTTTTATTGGTAAAATGAAAATAATAGGATTGTTTTGTGAATCAAAGAGGCAACGTGTATAAAAGCACTTACTATAATATATAGGACATAGTATATCTTGAATAAAAGTTGCTGTTTTATTATTTGAGAACCTATTTTGAACATTCATTTCTTTCTACACATCACTTACCACTCTTGTACTCTACATAAAGCTTCAGCAGATAACTTTCTACCTCAGAAAATAGGCAGGAATGCCCTTAGACTCCAGTCCTTCCTAACTTCTGCTCTCATACTACCCTTTTCATCTTATTAACTGCATTTGCACTTAAAACCAAAACCAAACTCGCTGCTGTTGAGTTGGATCCAAGTCATAGCGAACCCCTCCTTGGGTTTCTGAGGCAGTATCACTACGAAGTAGATTGACCAGTCTTCCTTCCGAATAATGGCTGGTGGGAACATTAAAATTATTGGATTTCCCACACAAAGCTGAGAATTCTTTGAAGCCAGGACTGAGTTAGTCATCTTTTACCCCTAGCACTTTGCACGGTACCTGGCATATGGCAGATAGTCACTAAATGTTTACTGAATGAACAGTCTTTGCCTGAAAGCTTCTCCCCCTCCAGTTTCACAGTAACAGCGGTCCTTTCTCCTGTTTTGAAAAATCTCTGCTTGTTTGTGTTTATCCACCCCTTCATATCTCTGGGACTTTGTCCATCGCTTATGCCGTCTCTTTGTTATGTTTTCAGTGCAACTCAGTTTGTTCAAAGTCCTCCATTTGAAAATACAGTTCTCTCTTAACCTGCCTTCTTGAAAGAACTGTACTCCTTACTTCACTCTTGAAGTTGCTTCGGTCAGGCTTCTTCTGTCCCACAGCTTCACTGGAACTGCCAACAGAAGTCACCAGTGACCTTCAAGTGTGATATCTGTTGATTACACTCTCTCCCTCACTGATCAAAATGGTTAGATTCCAAAAACCAGGTCATTATGTGAAATCTGCATTATGCCAGAGTGGGGGGCTGTGCTTGATCTAGTGGTAATTAAGTTCTGTTAAGTTCTGTTCGTGAGGTTGTTGCTAGGTGCTGTCAAGTAGATTCCAACACATAACAACCTTATGTACAGCACAGTGAAACTGCCCAGTCCTGCATCGTACTTGTAGTCATTGCTACACTTGAGCCTACTGCTGCAGCCACTGTGTCAGTCCATCTCTTTGACAGTCTTCCTCTTTTTTGCTGACTGCAAAAACGGCAAGGAGGCCACATGTTCTGACCTCCTCTAATCCCACAAGAGGAAGACAGGATTACCAGCAGTAACCCAAGGCCTATTCCTACAAGGCCAGACATGCTGCCTCCCTCCAGCCCTTTCTCCAACCGTTCCTCCCAAAGCACCACCACCTTTCTCCTGGGTTCAATAATTCGCTGCAGTGGCCACACAGAACTCACAGATTATGGAGTTTATTAGGGAAGCACCAGGCTACAATTCAAGCTCAGGAAAAACGCTCAGTCTCTCTCCCAGCCCACCGTCCCTCAGCCAACAGTCTCTCACAGTCTCTTTCCCAGCAGTGCTGGTCCCTCGGTGTCTCACTCAGCGATGTGTGTCTCTTGCGCCTCTTTCCCAGCAGCACGTGTCTCTTTCCGGGGTGCATGTCTCTTTCAGCAGCACGTCTTCCTCAACCAGCAGTCAGAGAGAGTTCTTCCAGGAGGCCTCCTTTTGAGCCCAGCAGGGTGGTCAAACTAGCCAATCATAGCATCAGAACTCTAAGCATCTGAGAGAGAGTGGGAACCTCCCAGAACATTGTATTGTGCCACGCCTAACAGAAATACTCCACGTGGATAACATTTACAATCAGGAGCTCCTCAGTTGCTCATTCCACCACTGAGTTTACAATGACTTATGGGTAGAAAAGCCATACAAAGTAATTTACTACACCGCATTGACTCTCTGCTTTACCAAGTATGATATCCTTCTCAGGGGACTGGTCTCTCCTGACAATATGACCAAAGTATGAGAGGCAAAGTCTCACCATCTTTGCTTCTAAGGAACGTTCTAGCTATAGTTCATCCAAGACAATTTTGTTTGTTCTTCTGGCAGTTTGTGTATATTCAGTATTCTTTGCCAGCACCATAATTCAAATGCATCAATTCTTCTGCAGTCTTCCTTATTCATTGTCCAGCTTTTGTATGCATAGGAAGAGATTGAAAATACCATGGCTTGGATCAGGTGCACCTTAGTCGTCATAGTGACATTTTTGCTCTTTAACACTTGACAGAGGTCTTTTGCATCAGATTTGCCCAGTGCTATACAGTGTTTGATTTCTTGACTGTTGGTACCATGGGCAGTGATTATGGATCCACGTAAAATGAAATCCTTAACAACTTCAATCTTTTCTCCATTTGTTGTGATGTTGCTTATTGGTCCAGTTGTAAGGATTTTTGTTTTCTTTATATTAAGATGAAATCCATACTGAAGACTGTAGTCTTTGATCTTCATCAGTAAGTGCTTCAAGTCTTCTTCACTTTCAGCAAGGAAGATTGTCATCTTCGTGTTGTAGGTTGTTAATGAGTCTTCCTGCAATCCTAATGTTGGGTACTTCGTATAGTCCAGCTTCTCAGGTTATTTGCTCAGCATACATTGAATATGTATGGTCAAGGGATACAACACTGATACATCTTTCCTGATTTTAAACTATGCACTGTCCCCTTGTTCAGTTTGAATGACTGCTTCATGGTCAGTGTACAGGTTCCATAGTTTGTTATGATCCACACAGTCAAGTGCCTTTGCAAAGTCAATAAAACACAGGTAAACATCTTCCTGGTATTCTTTGCTGACAGCCAAGATCCATCTGACATCAACAGTGATATCCCTCATTCTACGTCCTCTTCTGAACCCAGCTTGCATTTCTGGAAGTCCCTTGTCAGTACACTGCTGCAGCCATTTTTTAATTATCTTAAGCAAAGTTTTACTTGCTATTAATAATATTGTTTGATAATTTCTGTGTTCTTTTGAATCACCTTTCTTTAGAATGGGCACAAATATGAATCTCTTCTAGTCAGTTGACCAGGTAGCTGTCTTCCAAATTTCTTCACATAGACAAATGAGCATTGTATCCATTTGTTGAACAATCTCAATTGTATTCTGTCTTGGAGCCTTGTTTTTTACCAACACCTGCAGTGCAACTTGGACTTCTTCCTTCAGTACCATTGTTTCTCGATCATATACTACCTCCTGAGATGGTTGAATGTTGATCAGTTCTTTTTGGTACAGTGACTG